CTCCCTCACCGCAGACAAACTTAGTCCTTACCCATTCTGCGTCAGTTCCGCGTGTTTCAAATGTGCAGAGAAAGCACCACAATATTCTAATGCAAAGTGAACGCTTAAGAACCATTTTCCTCGAACCACCTAAAGCAGTGTATCGCAAAGCTAAATCTATTCGAGACATACTCTCATCGTCATCATCGTCGAAAGCAGACAGTCCTGACACGATCGGGTGCCATCCTTGCCAAAAACCGCAATGCAAAGTATGCCCATACATGCGCACGTGCCAACGGGTCACCAGTACTGGTTCCAACTTTTCCTTAAAAGTCAAAGGCAATCTTGACTGCGATTCTAAGAACGTGATATGCATGATAGAATGTGCGGTATGTGAATTACAGTACATTGGTCAAACAGAAGGGCCTTTTAGACCGCGTTTTAACAACCATAAATCTCATGCTAACACCTTGCTCCACTTGCCCATTTCAAGACACGTGCACCTCCCTGGCCACTCTTTTGAAAATCTACAGGTCACATTACTAGAATCTGGTTTCCGCACAAATTATGATAGAGAAGCCCGTGAATCATTCCTCATCTATAAGTTCGACGCCGTCGCATCTGGTCTGAATGAAAACGTAGGAAAACTTAGTTGCCTATCTGCGTAACCTGTATCACCCTGTCCATCTTTTTTCAACCTTGCTCAGCAAGTCGCACTACATTGTCTGTATCCGTTGATTACGTAGCAGCTTTGTAACGTCTTTGTCATCTTTATTAGTAATTTATAGTTTTTTTCTTTTTCCCTTGCTTTTACCGGTCGGACTACTCTTCATGTTATGTGCTTTATCTTTTATGCGTTTTATCTTTTATTTGTGAACAACGTGCTCGCCATGTGCTCGCGCATGGAAGCAATATCTTTTTACTCGTAGATTAGGTGCTCTTTATATTGTGTGACTTGCATATATATATATATGCCCATATATAGCCTTTCATGTCGGTTTTCACATTTGTATCTTACTGATATGCACATGTATATAAACAGCACTCGTGCCATAAACTGTATTCTGATGAAGGCCGGACCCACGGCCGAAACGTCAATAAAATCACTTCGTACGTGCGTCTTCTTTCCTATACGGATAATTTTACCCGAACCCAGCATCACTTTTGTTTTTGGTATATATATATATATATATATATATATATATGAGAAAGAAGTGTATACCTCAGGACTCGTTTTTTCATGTTTTGAGTCAATGTTATTGAGATCTAACAGACAATACTGCCAAGAAATGTATAGGGGAAGTTATTGGAATAAGAAGAAAGAAAAGTAAGTGCAAAAAAGACTTGCCGTGAGTAGGAATCGAACCTACGACCTTCGAATAATGCGTTCAATGCTCTACCACTGAGCTATCCTGGTGGCTATTCCCCAGCCACATTATTGGGTTTATATGTAAATTTAAACGTGGGAGTGTCAGACAGCGCCATCTTTAGCCACGGCAACGAGTGTGGTACACTCTCTTTATGAGCCTGTATGTCATCACATAGCACGTGAACTTATTACGAGCTGGCAGCTGATCAATAGTCCCTCGTGTACAACTTAACGGCACCAAGTCTGGCTGTACGAGACCCTCGTTAATAAGGGAAAAAAGTGTATACCTCAGGGCTTGTTTTTCCGTGTTTTGACACAATATTAATGAGATGTAACAGACAATAATGCCAAGAAAAGTATAGGGGAAGTTATTAGGCCAATTTTAATGTAAATGAGAAGAAAGAAAAGTGGGTGAAAAAATTACTTTCTGCGAGCAGGAATCGAACCTACGACCTTCGAATATCGTGTTCGATGCTCTACCACTGAGCTATCATGGCGGCTACCTCCCGGCCACTGACACTAATATATACATATATATATATATATATATATATATATATATATATATATATATATATATATATATATATATATATATATATATATGCCAAGGTGTAGTGCACAATCTGCATACATTGCTCAATTGACTTGAGGAAGGCATCAGTTTTTTTTGGGGTGGGGGAGAGCGGCGTGGGTAGAGAGCTGCATCGCAACACCTATACGACAATTTTGTTTGCTCATAGAATCAGACAAAATGGCACTTGGTTCATTTTCCTTAGTTTGCACATATTTATTTACATGAATAAATGCTAAGGGAATAAAGCGTACGAATCCATAGATATATTTATCTGCCTAAACAAGTGATGAAAGGGCTCATATAGAAGCATTGTAGAAAACAATGTCGTTTAAAGGATACCATGATATGCGAAAAATAGCACTTACTACAATAAATAAACATAAAACTTTCCACACCTCCACACCGCCTGTGGATCGAGAATAACCATTGTGATTAACGCAATCCAAAAGTATTTATTGCTAATTACACTCTTCCATGACCGTAATCATGTGAGGCACAATGTGAAGCATGTGAAATAAACACTGTAGTAAACCAAGTGAAACGTGTGCCTAACCTTATTGAAAAGCAAGAGCATGTAACCAATAATTGCGAAAAGCTTCTGTGCAGCGTTGGCTTCAACCCGCTGCTGAACACCGGGGCCACACGTTTCAGCTTTCACTGGTTAACCATTTGTACTGAGTGCTTGGGCGGTAGTTTTTTCTTCCTCCTGTCGCTTGCTGAAGCTCATACAGATTCGTACTATAACCTTGAGGAAAATCGGCGGGCGCGGTCGTTCAACTATTGTGGGAATGATGGTAAGTACACAGTTAGGATCAAATTGTGTTAGTGAACTATCTACGGGTGTTCTCTTAGGATCTAATTGCGTTAGTTAGCGAACTACCTACGCTTGTTCTCAGTTTCAGTTCGGTTCTGCGCGCAGCAGCTTCACTTGGCCTGCAGCGTTCACAGGCATGCGTATATGTATGTGTCGGGGAGCGGCGCGAGGATTGTTGTCTTCCTGAAAGTGACAGCAGCATGCCAGCTTTCCTGGCTTAGGCAACGTTTCATATTTGTGGTTCGTATTCGATACTTTTGAAGAGTCATTCAATTACCAATCTCCATTATTATGTAATTAGAAATTTACCAATCAATTGGTAATCAATTTACCAATCAATTCACTTAATTGTCAATATAATTACGTCTTTCCTACACGCACTCAACGTGGCTACAAAACAATGATGAAGCGACGTGAACGCCCCTAAATGATCCACTGAAGATCCCCGCGTTAAAGAGGTCTCTTCTGTTCTGCACTGAATGGTCTTTACAGCGGAGTGAGAGATCCATTGCATATGAACCACTGCTTTCACGATATTTCTGCACATGAGCACACGTGCCTGCCATTGGTACAAACAAATCTGTTTATTACTGTTCTGTACAATATTTTTATTTCCATAAATTGATTATGCATATTCCAAGTTCAAAATGCATGTTTATTTTCACGATTTCAAAAACACTCTTCATTATTTGCTAGCACCAAATCACGAGAAAAATTTATAGCATGGTATAATACCCTAGTTCAGGTGAAATTTGTCCCAGTTTTGTGTCAATATCGAGGTCACGCAGAGTTCCTGCGATCAGCTTTATATTAGGAAGAATGAAGCAAGTCTTTATTGAGAATAGGTTCATGTCACTGTTTTATTCTTGGTGAATGAGCGCCGCGAATGCCAAGAACGAAATTCACTCGAAGCAGACACGGAGCTTTTACACTCCATCAATCTCTTTGTGGTTGGAGAGTCTGGTGTCTAGCCTGCTGGTACATAGCTTGGAATCTAGGAACCCTGCATTTGTAAAACACATACACAAGAAGACAAATAAGACAACCGCACACGCTGGGGCTGGCGGTGGTCATGTGTTTTTTGGAGGCTGGGTTTTTTGATTCTATGCCATGGTGGTCAAAGCGCAGCTTAATCAGGCTTGCGTGCCCCACGTAGACATTTCAAAAAATTAATTTGAGCGCAAACACACGACACATTGACGCAAACACTCACCCAGGCATAAACACGCACTGTGCTATGTGTGTGCGCGTGTGAATGTGTCGTGTGCGCTCAAATAGTTTTTTTCAATGATCTACTAACTAGCCCAACAACAAGTTTTCCTACTATCATAGACACTCGCTCTAGATTCCACTCAATGTTTTGTGTTATGAAATTTTACGCTAAAACTGTGGGCTTCTCAATCAGCTTCAGCAGTGCACTTGCTGATCACTGAGGACACTGGGATGTGAAAACACTCGCTGACTTTTGTCGTTTTGTTAAAAGCGGGGACGACCGCTGTGGCCATGCCTTCAGTACTGTACGACGTTGTGGGACTTTACCGCGTTGGGTTAGCACATTCGCCGCGGCATCGTAATATATATAATTATAAAAAAATGACTAATTGTGGTGCGCAGCGCGACGACAGCATGCCCGCCCTGAAAAATTTCGGCGGCAGCACCAAGCTGCATGAGGTAACCAGGCCCCGTCGCACAGCTCTACACTGAGTTACATCGATGCCTGTGGCTTGTTCTCAAACTTGCCTTAGGCAGGCTTGATGTCGGGAAAGCAACCTCATTAATATGACTTATAAAGCGTTTTACAACAGCAAAAGAACAACCAGTCATCGCACAATGCGAATAGCGAAACAAGTGGGTCATCCAATGCTTTAAACTAGCACAAAAGCGTGTTCTTGTTTCCCTATTAACTGTGGCGCATACCCACTTCAGCCATGATTTCTCATCGTTGTCAGTTACTGCATGGACAATCAACACAAAATTCCTAGCAAGTGTTTAGCGGATACCATGCTTCTCAGAAGAATAACGAAAAATAGCATAGCAAATGCTGGCCTACTGCCCAAAAGTTTATTATTAATGCCCTAGTGGGTACCAAGCAAGTATGCTTGCAGTAGTTACCCAATGAGTGTTTTGAAAAGGCTCTGAAAGGCCGCTCGTCTAGCTTTCGCTGTGACTGTGTTGTGCCTACCATGCAGGCCTGGCATTTTTTGTTATAAGGGGGTAACCCAAAGTTGGTGTTCTTGACATTTGCCTTTTTTATGCCTCAGGTGGAGCTTTACGAGGACTTTGCTAGAAGCCGTGCAAAGAAGTCAGTGGATGAATCAGTTGCAGGAACTTCTGAGGACCAGTCAGTCAACCCACATGCCACAGCTCACGTGTTCCAGGTTTGTCTTTTGCATTGTTGTCATGCATTTAAGATCTCTAGTGTGTTTATTAAGTGTAGTTTTTCTCTAGTTCAAATAGTAGCAGCCTTAAAATTCAAAGGCCATTTATTGGCACAATGTTCCTGGACGATTTTCAGAGCTCTCAAAAGGAGAGACGACTTGATAGCACACAATTGAGACAGTATCACCAAGAATGACATGAACAACGAAAGCAAAATGGGAAACAGCAGTTGCCGGCTATGTGACCTTTGCACTATAGTGCTAGAATTGTGTTTTAATCTGAAAACTTGGGCAGAGATTAAGCAGCTTGGCATCTTTATTGCTGTTGTTGTTCAAACGCAGCTCATAATCAACATTATTGTCTTATGAATGGAAGGTCATCAAAAATTTTAAAATTTTTGCATTGTTTACGAAATGTGCAACAGTGGTGTGCTTTCATAATCACGAGGGAAAAAAAAAGGAAAAGGACCCAAGACGCACAGAGCACTGCCTATCAACATAAAAAGACTCTAAAGAGAAACTTGGTTTAGATTGATGAACTGCACTTCGAGACTAATGCCTTATCTTTCACTATTGTTACCGCATTTTCCGGTTTATAAGTCGCACCCTTGTATAAGTCGCATTCCCCTCAAAATTGCAGTTTTTCTGAAAAAAAACGTATATAAGTCGCACCGGTGCATAAGTCGCACCGGTGTAGAAGACGCACTTGCTCATCCGACCACCGACATTTAAGTATCTCGTCGTGACAATGCATTGCAAAAATGCATGCTTGCGGCGGCCGACGCTTTTGCACGTTTCTAGCTATCAGCAGTCACGCGTGCGAGCGCTTTTAAACACACATATAAACAATACTTTCAGAAGTACCTTTATTATTCGGATAGCTTGGTGACGTTTATTCAAAGCCATCGAAGTCGTCTTCCTCCGAGTCGCTCACGAACAATGCAGTTACTTCTGGTTGCAGTACTACTGGCACATCACTGTTGTCCTCCGACTCGCTCGAATCGGACTCTTCAACGTCGCCATCGGCCGCGCAGGGGATCAAACCGGCCTTGCGAAAGCCCGCCACAATGGTCTTCGCAGAAATTGGCTCCCAAGCGTCACTCACCCATTTCGCCAAACTCTGCGCGTCTCATGCGCCCCGTTTTTGTGAAGCTGTGTTCTCCCTCCGACATCCACGTTTCCCACGAACGTCGCAGAACTGCCTTGAAGCTGCGGTTGACAGAAATGTCAAGCGGCTGAAGCATCTTTGTCATGCCGCCGGGAATAATCACTGGCATACAGTTCTTTGAACTGATCTTTTTCTTGACAATGTCGGTGATATGTGCCCGCATACTATCCATTACCAGCATTCCTGGCTTCACGTGGAAGAATCCGTCTGGTCGACGGGAAAAACAGCGGTCAAGCCACACACTCGTCATTCCCTCGTCCATCCAACCTTTTGTGTTCGCCTGAATCACCACTGTAGGAGGGAAATTATCCTTCGGCAAGGTTTTCCGCTTAAATATTAGCATGGGAAGCAGCTTTGTGCCGTCCGCGCAGCAGGTGAGCACAACGGTGAAGTGGGACTTCTCGTGGCCTGTTGTCCTCACCGTGACAGTTTTCTGGCCTTTTTCGGCGATGCTTCTCCCAAGCGGGATGTCGAATGTCAGCGGCACTTCATCCATGTTAACGATGTGGCTCGCGCTGACATTCTTCTTCACAACTTCCTCCCTCACGAATGAGCTGAAGTTGTCCAGTTGCGCCTGAAAGTCGTCGTGCAGCTTCTGGCACATTGTCGTCCGGGCTCTCATAACCAGCTGATTCCGTCGCATAAAGCGGAAACACCACAACGGACCACCATTGAATCCCGTAACATTGCTCTCCGCTGCCAGAGCCTTCGCCTTCAGGCGCAGCTGCACTGTTGACAGCCCTCTTCCTTCGGCTCGTTGTTGCAGTACCCACGTGCGCAAGCTACGCTCGAGGTCCGGCCAGCGCGCCTTCTTGCCGCGGTTGGCCTTCTTTTTCGACTTCATCATCCGGAGGACGCTGTGGGCCTTGCGCCAGTCACGGATTATTTTTTCACTGACGTCGAATTGCCTCCCTGCTTCTCTGTTCCCGTGGTTTTCGGCGAATTTAGCAGCGCGCAGCTTGAATTTGGCGTCATAGCTTCGCCGACTTTGCTTTCCAAGCGGCGCCATGGTTCGCGAGGTTCTACGGCGCTACCGGCTCTATGCTACGACGCACAACACAACACACGAGACACGCGCAGCAACAGCGACTCTAGAGTGTACTAGAATAGCGACACAGCGAGTGTAGAGTGTACTAGAACTTTTGAGTGGCGCGACCTAAACGCTTTCCCCTTGCTTTCTCCATCCCCAATTTGTGGCGAAAGTAGCGGCGGCGCTGCCATCGCCCAATCTTCCCACTTGGTTTACTCGTCTGGCTCGGCGGCATGGCCGGCATCTCGGTTTTAGTCGCGAAATGACAAAGAAGTAGCGTCTAAACCATTGTTAGGCGCTAGGTTGCACAACTGGATATCCGCGTGTGCAACAAAGTCGGAAGTTATCATTTTTCAAGGCCCCGAAAGACGCAGAACGGCGACTTTTTTGGGAGCGGAACCTCCATCAGCTTGACAAGCCGCTTGACGCCGGTTGTGCTGTGTGGGAGTTACATTTCAAACCGCATTTCATTGTTAGAGACTACGTACACGTTATCAATGGTGTTCAAGTCCAAATTGCTAGGGGAACGCCGACACTTGCCCCTGATGCAGTGCCGACGATCTTGCCCAACCTGCCTGCATATTTGACGCTCAAAACTCCGGCTCCGCGGACCCAAACAAAGCGGCGTCATCATTGTGTGCCAGCTGAGAATGACAACAGAAAACGGCGACGCATTAGCACTGCTGCACGGCTCCTTGTGGATACCAACGGTGCAACTTCTGCAGATGGCGACAAAGCTGACGAGGCAAGCTCAAGTCCCTCGTCTGACGTGGTTGTCACTCTCGGTGACCTTCGTGGTCTTGTCCTACCATCAAAGTCATGGGCGCTGCACGAGTTTCCTGGATTTGCCGGCGTGTCGTACGTAGCGTGCTCACTGAATCCTAGCACTCGTGAACTTTGCATTCAACGAGACGTATACTTCACCTGTGCAGACAATGGAATCGTGCAATGCGAAGCATTCATGCAAGAGAAACTATTCTGCAAGTTCAGTTTAGTAACTGTTCGAGAAGCCTCAGATGCTCTGCAGCTTGTTGCAAGCGTCCCACTCTGTTGTGGAGCAGCAGAAACTTCATTTTTGCCGCCATCGGACCTTACCCACGGTCTACACGCGCAAATGAAGTCAAGATGAGAAATCTTCTACAGTGTCAAAAGCGCACAAAAGCACCTAAAACTGAGTAGGCTATAAATTGCTACAGTGGCGTAAAAAGGATGTCATTTTTCGTGCATATTTTCTTACACTCTTAATTTTTTGACGGTACACCAAGAAGAAGAACAATTTGTCCTAGAAGAGGCTTGTAAGCGAGAGAACGTGCAAATAATGACGCGAAATCTCAAAATAAATCTTTGATCTTGAATCTTTTTTTATTAAACCTGTGATGGTAAATTTAGCAGCACTAGGGATCTCGGTGCATAATCCATCGATCTAAGCCAATTCATTGTTGCACTTCAGTGTCCCTTCAAAAGATCTTTCGACCATAACATCTTTTTTTTTAAAATGCATTTTGGAAAGACAACCTTAACTCTGTCGTTCTGTTTGCTTTGCTTTATGTTATCTTTTGTATCCTGGCTCTATATTTTACGTTTTTTACAATTTACCTAATTGCAAATGTATTGTTTTATAAATATGTAAACCTTGCATTTTATGTTATCAATTATGATTAACATTAGTTACGACTCTGCTTTGCAGTGTTGTTCCGTTTTTTAAACTTTCAAAATCTTCCACTACTATGTTTCACCTAAGACATTCTTTTGCAGTATTACGTATTTGCATTTCTGTGGGTCCTACAACAATGAATCTATTCCCATATTTCAAAACCAAAGGGAGGTTTGGAAAAACTCAACTGTTCTTCAAATAATATCAATAAAGCCTACTTTTTTGTCGTGTGTGCACGCAGCCACAAGCAATGAGCCTTTTATTTGAGTCCAGCTTTGGTGTTTTACGTGGAATGGACCAAGAGTTCTTCGTTTTGTGTGCACCATATTCCTTTTTTTTTGGGGGGGGGCTTCTGGTGTGTACCGGCCAGCTGGTTTCTCGTCTAAAATGTGTACACTTTAAAAATTAAAAAAAAAAAACGCGCTCGTTATATTGTACAATGTTCTATGCTGCTTCGGGCTGCAGTGCGGTCAGCGGCAACTTTAATAACAATAATGTCAAATAACCTTTATTTGCGCGAAAAAGGGGAGGTATGTGAATAAAAAAAAAAGAGGGAGATCATCTTCACACTAGGCGCGACAGAGAGGTACCAACACGTACGCGGAACGCCTGCCAGCCATCCGCCCGGGCAGATTGGTCGACGTCAGCGCCACCGCATCATTCCACGCCGAAACGGCCGCTCCCAGGCAGCTGCTCGCGCCACTCAAAAGCTTCTAGTACACTCTAGCGAGTGCAATGAAGACGTTATGGCGGACATAAGTGACGGTAACGGAAGTAGCTCGGAAATCCAAACTTGCTTTCCATAATTTATAATTTAAAAAATACTTGCACATTTTCACCCCTCTGATTATTTTTTTGTGCAAAACTACATAGCTGCGTTATCTTTAGGGTGTTAACTTACCGTTAATCTTACTTTTTTTTTTAAATGTGGTTTCTGTGCATCGCAGAAAGCGATGAAGCTAGAGGGTACTTCTAGTACACTCTAGTGAAGCGCCGTAGACGCCATTTCGATGCCCGCTTGACGTAAACAGCGCCACCCAAGCCGTGGCATCCAACTCGATTTTGAATGTATATAAGTCGCATCGTTGTATAAGATGCACCCACGAAAAATTCAGAAAAAAAACGCGACTTATACACCGAAAAATACG